AGAAGGCTCAACTACTTGCACGGCCATCCTCTTCCAACACTTCCGATTTTCCAGTGTGCTTCGGGAGTTATACGAAGATGGATCCATGCCGAGGCCCGGTTAGATATGTTTCGGGACTTGCATGCAGCAGGCTTCGTTCCTGAGGCTGCCCTTATGGATGCCTGAGTTAAGGCTCGTGAAGCTCGAGTTGCTTGTGGATATGATCCCGCTACGCCTCAACCTGACGAGGAGGATGGGGAAGAGAGTGTAAACCGGCTTGAGGAGGACGCCTGGCATGATACCGTTTATCTTCAGGGCGAAGGTGGCGAGGATGTCGTGGGCCGAGGTGGTAAGGTCGCAGATGGCAATGATGGCGAGGGCCGGTATTATTTCTCTTAAACCCTTTTTGTGGTTTTTTTGCTGGCGTCTTTAAGAGCCCTTGTAATGAACTTCTTTATTTGTATATGAATGTTTAAGTTGTTTTTTGCGCCTTCTTCCATACCTGTTACTTGTTTCCGCATTTGTGTACTTTGCTTTTGTTGTTTGCATGTTATGATTTCTGCTCTTTCTATTGTCGTTGTCTTCTAGTTGGTCGTAGCCTTGTTGACGAATATTTATGGGTCGTATCCGCCCGTTTATTTATATAGGTCGGTGTGCCTCTTTATTTAGATTTGGTTGATATGTGTTGTTTGAACTTGGTTGATTTTGGTCTTTTGCCAAGTAGTGGTCGAGGGCTGGTAGGTGTTACAAGAACGCGGTCGAGCTTAACCTTTTATTAACATACGACCGAGGGCCGAAAGGTGTTGTTCGAGCTGGGTCGAACTTAACCTTTAATTAAAATGCGGCCGAGGGGCGGAAGGTGTTGTTCGAACTTGGTCGAACTTAACCTTTTATTAAAATACGGCCGAGGGTTGAAAAGTGTTGTTTGAGCTAGGTCGAACTTAACCTTTTATTAAATCGCGGCCGAGGGCCGATAGGTGTTGTTCGAACTTGATCAAACTTAACCTTTTATTAAATCGCGACTGGGTGGCTGATAGGTTTTGTTCGAACTTAACCTTTTATTAAAATACGGTCGAGGGCCGAAAGGTGTTGTTCGAGGTGGGTCGAACTTAACCTTTTATTAAAATGCGACCGAGGGCCGATAGGTGTTGTTCGAGTTGGATCGAACTTAACCTTAACACAAAAGGTGTTGTGATAAATGTAAGTTTCTTATTACTTTGACGTTGTTGCTTTGGTCACATGATTGGAGAAAGTTACAGATTTTTGGCGTTGGACGGCGTTCCAGCCCCATTCCCAGTCTATCTAGTCCCTTCATTGTTTGACTTTGAGAGTATTGAGGAGTAAGGCAATAAAAGATACAAACAGTCTCTCCGTCGCACACTTCGACTCAAAGTGTCCCCTTTATCATCTCGTTAAAAACCTCCTCGAGAAAACCCTAACGGGACAAAACTCAAGTGAGGAAAAAAAAATACGACTTGGGGACACTTCTTCGTTTTAGAAGTTGAAGTATTTGAGGTGGCTGATGTTCCAATTGTTCGGTTAGTTATTTCCTTCCATTGTCTCTAATTGGAACGAACCCTTATTTGCTTTGGCTGTAATTTTGTATGGGCCGTCCCAGTTTGCCTTCTCGTGGGTCTTTTGCTCGCTTGAGTTTTTGCTTTGAGTACTTAGTCCCCAACTTTGAGTGGTCGGACCTCTACTTTCTTGTTGTAATAACGTTCTGCTTGTTGATTCTGGGCGACCATCCTTATGTACGCCATATCTCTTCGTTCGTCGATTTCATCGAGTTCCTGCCTTCTATTCTCATAATTACTAGTACCACTTTTGTGGGAGTACCTTAGGCTGGGTTCTCCAACTTCAATTGGTATGAATACTTCGGTCACATAGACCAAAGAGTAGGGTGTCTCTCCTGTGCTCCTCTTCGGGGTAGTTTTGTCCGCCCATAATACTTCTGGGAGTATCTCTGGCTACAATCGTCTTCGAGCTTTTTCTTCATGATGTTTAATATGGACTTGTTGGAGGATTCTGCCTGTCTATTACCCGCCGGGTGATACGGGGTTGAAAGTATCCTCTTAATCAGAGGCGGACCCTAGATTTAAATCCTATGGGTTCAGCTTTTAAGGTGTTTAGCATCGAACCCATTATATTTTTAAAGTTATGGGTTCATATCCACTATTTTTGCAATTTTAATGAATTTTTACATATAAAATTATACACCGCGTCGAAAGTTATGGGTTTAGTTGAACCCGTTAGTTGTTCACTACATCAGCCTCTACTCTTAATATGCCATTTCTCGAAGAATTCAGCAATTTTCTTTCCCATGAACTGGGGTTCATTGTCGCAGATGATCTCCTTAGGTAGGCCGATCAGCAGATGATGTTTCTCCATATAAAGGTGATTACCTCTTGTTCGCGTATTTGGGTGAACGCTCCTGCTTCCACCCATTTAGAGAAATAATCAGTTAAAACCAAAAGGAATTGTATATTACCTCGCCCTGCTGGGAAGGGGCTTACAATGTCCATTCCTCACTTGATAAACGGCCACGGAGAGGTGACTGAGTGGAGATGTTCAGCTGCTTGGTGAATTATTGGGGTGTATTTTTGACATTGTTCGCATATCTTCACAAATTCTAAGGCATATTTTTTTATGGAGGGCCAATAGTATCCTGCCCGTATGAGGCACCTGACGAGTGCTCGATTGCCGGAGTGAGCACCGCAATAGCCTTCATGGACGTCTTCAAGAACGTGCTGGATTTGGTTTGGGCCCAAACATTTTGCCAGAGGGCCACCGTATGTCTTCTTATATAGGTCGCTATAGAGGAGATTGTATCAGGCTGCTTGTATTCTTAGTTTCTTGGCTTCCTTTTTGTCGTTTAGGAGTGCGCCGACCTGCAAATAGGAAAAAATACGATTGCGCCAATCCCAAGTTAAGCTTACAGATCTTACCTCGATGTGGTCTAGCGATGAGTTAAGGAGGTGGACTATACTTTTATCCCCGGTCGTGATGTTTTTGGTAGCTGCGTTCAATTTGGCGAGGCTGTCTGCTTCAGCATTCTACGCACGCGAGATCTGGTCGAGCTGTCACTCGTCGAACTCGGGCAACAACTTACAAATCTTGGTCTAATATTTTTGCAACCTTTGTTCTTTGATTTGGAAAGTCCCTATGACTTGGTTGACTAATCACAGCAGAGTTTCATTCGCTTTGCCCCATACTTGAGTGCTAGCCTTAATCCTGTAGTTACGGGCTCATACTCGGCCTCCTTGTAAGTCATATCTGGGCATCTTATGGACTGGCGAATTACTTCGCCGATAGGGACCTCGAGTACGAGTCCAGTCCGGATCCGGAGGCAATGGATGCACCGTCGGTGTATAGGACCCAGAGGTTTTGTGTTTGGAGAGAAGCTTGGACGGCTTCCTTCTCGACTTCATGCATTATTTTTGCACTGAAGTCTACGACGAAGTCAGCGAGCACTTGTGACTTTATCGTTGTTCGCAGCTGATACGTGATATCATGCTCGCTTATCTTGATGGCCCACTTGGCCAGCCTTTTCGATAGCTCGGGTTTATGTAAAATGCCTCTTAGGGGAAAGGTGGTAACAACCGAGATATGGTGGCACTAGAAATAGGGTCTAAGCTTTCGTGAAGCTATGACTAGTGTCAAGGCCAGTTTCTCGAGGTGCGGGTACCTCGTCTCAGCGTCGATGAGTGTCTTGCTAATGTAATAAATGGGAGACTACGTACCTTTGGTTTCTCGAATCAGGACTTCACTTACTACTACTTCGGAGACGGCCAAGTAGACGAGGAGATGTTCCCCGGGTTTGGGCTTTGAGAGCAGAGGTGGTGATGAAAGATACGCCTTCAGTTCTTGCAGATCTTGTACGCACTCGGGTGTCCACTCGAGTCAGTTGTCCTTTTTGAGTACGCCAAAAAATTTGTGATATTTTTCAAACGACCGCGAGATGAATCTAGATAATGTCGCGATTCGACCATTCAACCTTTGGATTTGCTTCTTGGTAGTCAGGAGCTCTGGTATCCCTTTGATAACTTTGATTTGGTCTGGTTTGACCTCAATCCCCCGTTGTGACACTAAGAAGCCCAAGAACTTCCCAGAGGCTACGCCAAATGCGCATTTCTCCAGGTTTAGTTTCATTTCGTACCGTCTTAGTATGTCGAATGCTTCCTTCAATTGGTCGATATTGTCCTCTGCCTATACGGATTTGACCATCATGTCGACGATATATACTTCCGTGGTCTTGCCAAGCTAATATTTAAACATTTCTGTGACAAATCTTTGATATATAGCACTTGCATTTTTCAGCCCAAATGGTATGACGCTATAACAATATGTTCCTCGGTAGGTGATGAATGTGGTTTTCTCCTAGTCCTCTTCTTCCATAAGTATCGCTATAGCCTTAGTACGCATCCATATAACTCAGCAACTCGTGCCCGACCATTGCATCGATGAGTTGGTCGATATGTGGTAACGGGAACAAATCCTTTGGGGATGCTTTGCTCAAGTCCGTGAAGTCTACGCACATGCCATTTCCTATTTTTCTTTTTGACCATCACTATGTTGGCGATCCATTTGGGGTATTTCAACTCCCTCATGGAGCCATTTTCTAATAGTTTCTCTACCTCCTCGAGGACGGCATCGTAGATGGCGGGATTGAAGTTATGTCTGACATGCCTTGACGGGGGGTAGAACGGGTCGACGTTTAATTTATGTGTGACGATCTCCTTGGGGATGCCCGGCATATCTGCATGGCTGAAGGCAAACAAATCTGCACTAGTTATTAAGAATGACTAAATTTACCTGGTTCTCGGAGCTTGTAGCCGATGTAGGCCTTTTTACTGCGGTCGTTGGGGTCTAATTGAACGGGGGCGAGGTCCTCTATAGTCGAGTCCCTGGATTCGACCGTCGGAATCCATGATGACGTCCCTGGTCTCTTCTTGTATCGACCTCGGCCCTTTGATTGCAATGCCTCTTTTTTCTTATTTTTTTTGTTGGGTTGTCGTGCTGTCTTAGGCGATGCGGTAGCACTCCCGGGATGTGCGTTGTTCTCCCCGTATGATGAATATCCCCCAAGGTGTTGGGAATTTGATTACTTGGTATAGGCTGGAAGGGATGGCTCTCATTGGATGTATCCATGGTCGTCCTACTATGGCATTGTATGCAGTAGCCTGGTTCATGATGTGGAATGTCGTCTCCAGCGTCACGCCGCCGGCCAAGACAGGGAGTGTAATTTCTCTCGAGGTTCGTTCAACTACATTATTAAACCTGGTTAGTGTGATGCAGCGTGGCACTTTCTTGTCCTCGAGTCTCATATGGGTGAGGACTCGAGGATGGATAATGTATGCTCCTCTTCCATCGTCTACCATGATACGTTTAACATCAGTATCTAAGTTGCGCAAAGTAATGACGAGAGCATCATTTTGAGGGAAAGTCAAACCGTCGACATCTGACTCGTCGAAGATGATACTTTCTTCGAGTCCGTCATACCGTTCGTGGGTAATAGATTGTTTGAGTTTGTGAGTGGTGGTAAATTTAACGTCGTTAATGGAGGCGTCGTCGCTGCCGCCGATGATCATGTTGATAGTACGAGCTAGTGATGGTGGCTTTGGCGGTCCTTGCACGCCTCGGGCGAAGTTATTTCTCCCCTTGTCGCTCAGCAGCTCTTTGAGGTGTCCTTGCTGCAACATGTCTACAACTTCTTGCCCGAGGCTGATGCAATCTTCTATTTTGTATCCGCGCTCCTGGTGGAACTCGCGAAGGGCGTCGGATTTTCTAGTGCTCGGATCGGACCTCATCTTTGGCGGCCATTTCACCTTCGTCCCGAGTTTCTCCAGGGCATAGACTATTTCTATAGGTGATACACAAAAATTGTGAGCATATACTAAGGGGGCATACATCTCTTGTTAAGATGAGTCCCCGTTCTCGGTCTGGATGGGCCTTCTTCATAGCAGAGAGAAGGTGGAGCAGGGGCCTTAACGTATGGCTGGTGTTGTTTCCTGTTGGGTCGTGAGACCAGGTGATCCCTCCCGATGTTGTCTCTTCGTTATTTCCTGGACTCGTCCTGTATTGAGATGAGCCGATGAGTAGGTCCATTGAGGACGTCCTCATCTGCTCGAACTTCGACGCAGTAAGCATTGTGGATTTCATCCAAAGTGGTTGGAGGATATTTTATCATTCGGCTCGGCAATTTTCTAGTCGCTCTCGAACCATCTCTGCTCAACCCATTTTGAAAAGTCGCGACCGCCATACCCTCGGACACGTTTGGTAAGGTCATCCTTACTTGTTAAATCGGGCGAGGAAGTCCCTCAGTCCTTTTCCTAAGGACTGCTTGATGGTGAATATGTCTTTTACTTTTGTTTCAGCTTTCCTGGCTCCAGCATGCACCGTTACAAACTTCTTGGCCATTTCCTCAAAGGTTTCTATGGAACGGGCTGGTAGCTGTGAGTATCATGTTAATACCTCTCCAATAAGAGTTTCGCCAAATTTATTCAGCAAAATAGAGGACACTTGTTCATTGGTGAGGTCGTTGCCTTTCACGGCGGTGACATAATAAGTCACTTGATCTTCGGGATCAGTCGTTTCGTTGTATATCCTGAGATGCGGCGACATTTTTAAGGTCTTTGGTATGGCATGTGGGGCTTCTTCTTCTTTGTACGACTGCTCTACGAACCTGCTGGTGTCCCTCTTTGGCAATTTCTTAGGGGCGCCCGGTATCTTGTCTACTCGTTCTTGGTGTTCTTTCATTTGATATCTAAGTGATTTATTTTCATTCTGCATTTCTTCCATCCTCTTTAGAACAACGGCGAGGGCGTTGTCACCTGCATTGTTAGTGACGTTGTGAGTTATACCTGGTGTTGGAGGGTTTGGTTGGTCGCCCTGTTCGTCTACTCGTTGCACTGTGTAGGTTCTTGTAGTCTCTATAGTCGTGCATGGAGTGGGCTTGTTGAGCATTCTGACTAGCGTATCGGTTAGACATGCTTTGAGGAGCTTTTTGACGGCCGGTGGCGTCTCTTCTTCTGTGGACGTGGAGGCCCCTTTTCCGTTTGGTTTTGTTATGCTACAATGGGGGGAGGCGACCTCTCGCACCTAGGGGAGGCAGTGCGCGTCACGTCCTCGCCTAATGTTTCACGGCTCTCATTGGTAGCGTTCATGATGTTGCTAGGGAAATCACCTGTTACTTTAGTCATCTATTCTTGGCTACCTGCCATATAGGTTTTTGTACGTGCAAAGAAAGAGAAAGATCTTGAGGTTGGTGACTCGCGTTAGCTGTAGATCTAAAGGAAACTAAAAATTTAACTAAGAAATCCCCACACACGACGCCAAACTGTTTGACCAAAAATATAGATCTTGGTTCAACCGATTAGATTTAATTAAGAAGAGTTAATCTTAGCTAATAATAATATCCTAAAGATAAATCCATCGGTGTTGTGACTAATAACTTGTATATTTGTCCGGATGGCAATGAATATAAGCAATAATAACAGTATTTAATGATCCAAAAGATGTAATATGATATTAAATATTAATAAATAGCAATAAGTGGCATTTAAGTAAATAAAACGTGTGAGTCACCCGAAAAGTGATGAGATCAACGGATATTCTCTCTGACAATGATGAATAATTGATAAGCCTTTGAACACTTAGGTTGTTCTTGGATCTAGTGGAAATGCTAGATAAGAATCTTAGTAAAATGGTTGTTTTTGTATGCTTGCAATAGGACCAGATCCTCTCTATAAAGTCAATGTGTTTTTTACAAATGAATATCTTATGTCCCCTATCATTGTGCCTCTTTCTATTTATAGGGAACATGTTTATAGAAACCTTAATAGTACATGTGCAGAGAATATTCACCAGAATATTGTCTTTTGTATCCTATCTTAAAGCTAGCCGTTACAACTCTGTCTAAGATGCTCGACCTCGACCTTGAACTACGATGACTTCACGACCTTGATCTTTGCTGACTCTTCGATCACACCCTTCATCGCTTCGAGGCTACTTCGACCTGGGGCAAATCTTTGTGGAGACCTTACTGATAGCACGTGACGGCCGACGAAGGCTATCACGGTGCTGACGTGGCTTGGCTATATCAAAGATATTTTTTGGCCTATACACATATAAAATAAAATATAGAGAATAATAGAAATAGCAAAATTTTCATTTATACGGAATTCTCCTAACTATCTCCTTTGCGCCTCTTCTACATCCTCTCACCTTCAATGATCAAAATGGATTCTGCCTAGAGTTGCTGGCTTGCCATTTGTTCTTCGGTAGCACCACAGTTGGCCTTTTTGCCCAGCTTGCTAGTGGCTTATCACATACACAGAATTTTGTGTGGACGGTGTCGACTTATTGTCACAATTCAATTCATATGTTAATGTGGGCATGAGCGTAGCTGTATTATGAAACTTTAGTACTACTTGTTTCATATTGATGTTTAGTATGTTTTTCTCAAGTCGTGTGGATCTAATTTAGCGAAACAGTGTCAAATAATGTAGTGGTATAAGTGTCAAACTGTCAATATCAGAGGCTTAATCTTTCTTATGTTTGTCTCTTGCTCCAACAATATCACAAAACTCGTTTCTTTAAATTACATACGTAATGATGTTATCTTCTTATGAAAGATTCCAGCTTATAGTCTTAATAAAGAATTACTAAAAAGCTTCAATATTGCAAATTTGTGATCTCTTGATCTTGGATAAATTAGTGGCGGTTATTATAAAAAATTTTAAGCTCTAGGTGAGCTGATCAAGCTTATGCAAATAAAATGAAATGCCATATATATCTTGAGAGAGAGAGAAAAATAAAATAAAAGACCAAATAAAAAGTAGATATTATAAGCCAGTACCAGAATTTCGATTCTCGGATATGAAACACAATAGTGAAGATAAGATGCAATGAGAAACCACACAGATTTGGAGGTATTATTAAAAGAGATGGAATTGGAGAATTATTGGCCGGCTATTGTTACTTGTTGTAGTAAATAAAGGTAGATATATAAAAACAGGTGCCAAAATACGTCTCATCACATGAACAAAGAAGCAAAATTTAGACATCTGCTGGCCCATGCAGGTCTAGAACCTGCGACCTTCGCGTTATTAGCACGACGCTCTAACCAACTGAGCTAATGGGCCTTGATGCTTCATGGTTCTATATATTTTAGTTACCTATTGATTTACCTTTAACTTTCTAAATTATAAATGGAGAAAGTCCGTAGCAGTTCACACACTCTTCACCCTGAGGGACAGGGGGTGGGTGGGGATTGGGGGGG